TTGTTGTTGTTGTGAGCGCCGTAATGCCGTTGGGGAGCAAATCAGCGATGTAAACGGTGACGTCATGACGCAGCAGCGGCAGCACCAGTCGAGTGCTGGGCGGTGTGAACAGAGCGGGAGCAGAAAAGGGAAACCAGAGCTGAACCAGAAAAGCTCTAGCTCGGAGCTAGAAAGGGAAAAGCGCTGGTGTGAAAGCCGCATTAGCTCCGGAATCCGGTTCGTTTCAAGCACCAAAAAATTGTCTGGCCAGAACAAAAGCACCACATACGTCACGCTTACGTCGAGGCGGGGGCAGGGGCATATCAACTCCTGAACAACAACAAAAAGCCCGCGTTTTATCCAGTTTGTACACAACGATGGAGAAACTTAACAAGAGTTTCAGAGTTTCAGAGTTTCTGCCATAGGCTGTATATATAAAGGTTTCTGCTCATGGTGAAGCAACGTGTCTGCGTGTTAAGGTGGAACCTGAGCATTCACGTTGATCACCTCTCATTATAAATCTATAAAACTATAAATATTAAACTTTACTTCACGTGTTCATTTGAGAACAGCTGTTACATACCTGGGTGAAGGTTACAGTTCATTTAAATGAAAGATACAACGTTACTCCACACTCATGGTTCAGTCCACCTTAAGAAATAAGACCGACCTCGGAAGCAGTTGTGTTTTAAAAAAACCTTTATTGACACAAGTACACTTTTTTATAAGAATATAACTAAACCACAGAAATGACTCCGGAAAAGCTGCAGATAGAGCCATACGAAATGATTGCAACTGATTTCATCCGCGCGGTTTGGCTTTATGAAGCAGGCATGCAAACGGTTACGTCATGACGCAAACGACGACGCAAAGACGCATTACCAGTTGGACTCTGGGCGGTGTGAAAAGAGCCAGAGCTAAACCGAAGAACTGGTTCTGAACCTGAAAAGCTCTAGCACGGAGCTTGAACCGGAGTTGCGTTGGTGTGAATGAGGTATCTGAGAACACTTCACTGTCCCGCTTCATTGTAGGATTTCTGCCATGTCTCTACTTTAGTTTGACCATCTCTGTTATTAAGTTATGGAATTCTAAATAAATAAGTAATTAAATACCTTACCGTTACTACGCTCATAAAGAATTCTAAGAATAATGCGTATTGAACTGGTTTAATTAATTCGTGATTTTATTTAAGGTAGCCTAATTAGTTAGAAGCCCTATTTTATCAGTAGCCATGTCTGCCGAACAGTTACAATGGTCAAACTACATTAAAACAGAATTGTCCCCATTTTTCTTTAATAGTTACTAACATTAGATATTTTAATGAGATATGGACTGCAGAAAATGTGCCTGAATAACGAATTTAGCAGTTGGACATTGTAAGGTAAACTTCTGTGTAGCAATGCAGTGGGAGTCACCGACTCAGGAAGGAGACACGGTAGAGCAGGAGCTTTGATGTCAAACACTGGAGGTTTATTTGGAGTTACGGCCGGAGAGATTCACATCACAAGTCACAGCAGTCACGGTCTGACTGCACGGGTGGATTGCCACGTCAATTCTGGAGCGCCTCTCTCTCGTTAGCCCATTCAACTGGTTTCACAGAGAGTAATCAACATATTTTGATAAGATAGTTTAACCAGTTGGGCACACTGACGGCCCGTCTACACTACAGGCGTCAAAAAATGCTTTCAACGCTTCGCCCATTCATTTGAATGGGGTGACGTAGGATATTTTCAAACTTCGCCGAACTGCATTGTGGGTAGCTTGGCAAGGCGTTGCAAGCGTCAAAAGTTGAACAATGTTCAACTTTTGAGGCTCGATGCTTGCTCGAAGCTGGCGTCAGCTAGCAAATCCCGTTTTTGCAATTCCCGCCAGTACAAGCGCTAGCCAATCAAACCGCGTGTATGCTGATCCCGCAGGTCTTGACTATTTTCCATATGTCATAAAATGGAGGACAAATTAATCATTGCCGTGGCAAATGTCCCAGTCCTGTATGACTGTACTCTGTTCACCTACCGGGACCTAAACCGGAGGAACCAGGCATGGCGGGAGGTGGCAGAGACAGTTGGTGAAACTGGTAGGTTTTCAACTGTTTGGGGAGTTTATATCCAGTTTACTTCGTTTTAGCATTGAATGGACAGCTAGTAATGTAGCATAATAACATATAATATATATGAATATAATAATAAAAAAACATTATAATAAGTATAAGCATAATATATAACATAACATATAATACATGCACAGCTATCAAGCATAGACAGTATATTTAGCCAGCTAGTAATGTAGCATAACATATAATATATATTAATAAAAAAATATTATATATAATATAAGTATAAGCATAATATATAACATATAATACATGCAGAGGGTGTCGTTTTTCTCATACTGATATTCTGAACAATCTGTGCTGTTGTATTTGCTGTAAAGTGTCTCTACTGTAGGGTAATTGTATTATATGTACAGCACTTTGGCTCGACCAAAAATCGTTTATAAATGTGCTATATAAATCAAACTTGATTTGATTCACAGCTATCAAGCATAGACAGTATATTTAGCCAGCATGGAATGTAGCATAAAAATAGCATTCATTAATGGAAGAATAATTTAGTAAATTCAAGAAATTCACTTTATTATTTATTAACTTTATTATTTCATTTCATTTTATTAGATAATGTCTGCAAGAAGAGATGGAAGAGTCTGAGGGACAGGTTCCGCAAGGAAAATAATATGGAGAAGGAGGCCAAAAGAAGCGGGGCAGGGTCTGCAGGGGGGTACAAGCCCTGGCGTTTCATGGCAGTGATGGGGTTTTTAACCCCATTCATCATAGACCGTGAGACGTCCAGCAATGTCCCCCGGCAGACCCTGCCTCCATCCACCCTGGTGGCAGAGGAAGAGAGCCAGGTAGACAGTGAGTCAGCCAGCCAGTCCACCAGCCAGTCCGCCAGTCAACCAGCAGCAGTCAGCCAGGAGGAGAATGCTGAGGTCCGGGGCAAAACACGGGGTAGGGGGAGGGAGATGTCCCCGTTGAACGAAGTCTGCTGTCTGCTGTCAGCAATTACCCAGCAATTGCCCAGCCAACCCCACCAGTGGTGGAGGAGGACGAGGACTTGCAATTTTTCAAGAGCCTCTTGCCCACCATGAGGCAGATGACAAGGGCACAGAGGGCAAGAGTCCGCCTCGGGGTACACCAGCTAATTTTTTACGTGGACCAGCAGGACAATTTAATAATTTTTTCACACATACTGATCCACATTAAAAAAATGTACACTCATCACACACACTTCACTCAAATTCACCAAATAAAACATTATTTCAAGTATGCTATGGCTATACTGTGTCTTCACTTGTTCATGTGGTTTGTCAGTTGCAACATACCAGAAGCTTCATGTATGTCGGTATATATAATGTGCTTTCTTCTGTAATTGGTCATGTGAAAACCTATTGAAATTATGAGTGGTTTATCAGTAAAAACAGGGCTGAAAGAAAAAGGTTGTTAGTCATATCATAATATAATAATATCAATATAAGAAACATGTTTATTAGGAATGTTTGATTTTAAAATGGCTCATTTGGAATATTTGCTCTTTAAAGAAAATGGGTAGCTCTTAAAAGAGCTTTTGGTTTGGAGGAGCCATGGTGACCCTACACCACTTTATGCTGCCATGACACTACACCCTCCTCATTCAAATAGGAGCAGAGGGTCTCCCGCAGTTGGATGGATCGGCGTGTGGCGTTGTTTGAGCCCATCATAGGTGCATCGCGCAGGGTTGGAGCTTCATCACTCGACTCTGCGACGACAGGGACGACAGGTGTGCGTGATGACCTTCCTATTGTTGTAACTCTTTATTATCAGGGTGTACCAAGAAGTCAGTCAAGTCGCTTCAGCTGATTCAAAATGCTGCAGCTCGTGTACTAACCAGAGTTAGGAAAAGGGACCACATTACTCCTGTTCTGGCTGCCTTACACTGGCTCCCTATAGAACACAGGATAGAATTTAAAATTCTTCTTCTCGCCTACAAAGCCCTTAATGGGCAGGCGCCATCTTACCTTAAAGAACTCATTATACCCTACTGTCCTACTAGGGCATTGCGTTCCAAGAATGCAGGGTTGTTGGTTGTTCCTAGAGTCTCTAAAAGTACAATGGGAGCCAGAGCCTTTTCTTATCAAGCTCCACATTTGTGGAATCAGCTTCCAGTTTGTGTTCGGGCGGCAGACACCCTATCCGTTTTTAAGAGTGCGCTTAAGACCTTCCTTTTTGATAAAGCTTATAGTTAGGGCTGATTAGATCCAGCCCCTAGTTTTGCTGAATAGGCTTAGTTTGTCGGGGGACATCTTACTTCTTCCTTCTCTCTGTCTATACCTGTGTACTCTCATGTTCCGATTAACCCAGCTTCCCCAAATGTCTTTCTTTTTGGTGTCTATATACGCCGGGATCCGGAGTCATGGATGATCCTGCGCTCCTCTGTCCTGGATCGCGAGCCCTGGATCTTGAGTCGTGGCTGTGGTCCTGGATCATAGGTCCTGGATGGATATCCTCGTGGATTCATCTTCCTATTATACACACATGCATTTCCAAACATTTGGACTACCTATGTTGCAAATGTATTATCTTTTCAATTTACACACGGCATCTATTGCACATCTGTCCGTCCTGGGAGAGGGATCCCTCCTCTGTTGCTCTCCCTGAGGTTTCTCCCATTTTTCCCTTTAAACTGTGGGTTTTCTCCGGAAGTTTTTCCTTGTACGATGTGAGGGTCTAAGGACAGAGGGTGTCGTATTGTCATACTGATATTTTGTACAAACTGTAAAGTCCACTGAGACAAATGTAACATTTGTGATATTGGGCTATATAAATAAACATTGATTGATTGATTGATATTGTCTTCCTGCGGAGGAAGTTGTGCAACACACAGGTGGCCTTCACACACAACTCTGTTACCTCCGGGCTGGTGGTGATGACACGCCGGAACATTCTCCACTGAGATGAGAGGATGCCAAACGCACATTCAACCACCAACCTGGCCCGGCTGAGGCGGTAGTTGAACAGCCTCCTTTCACGCGTGAACGGACGCAGCAGGTTGTCCAGCAGCGGAACAGCCTCATCTCCAACAAACACATGGGGAAGAAGGCCCAGCCGCTCTGCTCCTGGGATGACGGTGTCAGGTGGTAGCTGCAGACTGCCATCTCGGAGGCCCTCTCCAAAAGCGGAATTCCTCAGGCTCCCACCGTCGCTGCTCCTTCCAAAACCTCCGACATCCACTACCCTGAAGAGGTACTGGGCATCCACGACAGCCAGTAGCCAGGCCGGAGCCTGGATCACCACGTGCTTCCCATCAATGGCACCAACGCAATTTGGAAAGTTCCAGCGCTCCTGGAACCCAGCAGCAATGGCTCTCCAGTCCTCCGTCTGTGGTACCGGCATGGTCTCCTCGACCAGCGCGGTCCAGATGGCACCCGCAACCTCCTTGACGATGACAGCCACTGTTGCATGCCCGACCCGATAGCTGAATGCTATGGTCCTGTACGAGTCACCGGTTGCCAGGTACCTGAGAAAAAAGTAATATACAAGATTTAAAAAAAAAAAAAGTTATACGCCACGCAGACACACACACCATAGACACACATCACAGACACACACACACACCACAGGCACACACATCACAGACACACACACATCACAGACACACACACACCACAGGCACACACATCACAGACACACACATACACCACAGGCAGACACAAACACCACAGACACACACATCACAGACACACACACACCACAGACACACACATCACACAGACACACACATCACAGACACACACATCACAGACCACAGACACACACACACCAACATACCACAGACACACACATCACAGACACACACACACCACAGACACACACACCACAGACACACCAACATACCACAGACACACACCACAGACACACACACACCACAGACACACACATACACCACAGGCAGACACACACATCACAGACACACACACACCACAGCCACACACACCACAGACACACACATCACAGACACACACACACACCACAGACACACACACACACACACACACACACACACACACACACACACACACGAGAGCAATACTGCGTTTACCTAGCTATCTTAATTAATGTCATTCATCTGAACTACATCACAGACTTCATTCATCCATTGCATGCATTCTCTCCCTTTATATACAGAGTCATATTAAAGAAGTAGAAATACACAAACGTACCGTAGGCAGATGGCGAGTCGCTCGGCGGGTCCGATTGACAAACGCATACGGGTGTCTGCCTTTGCAATCAGTGGACCGACTTTTCCGAGCAACTCGTCGAACGCGTCTTTGCTCATCCTGAAGTACTGCTGAAACAGTACACCATCCAGGTGGAGCTCTTGGACAAGAACGTGGTATTCCCCCCGTTGCAGACGTTTTCTGAGTATTGTATGTACCCAACAGCGACGCACTATACGTGGCCTCCTGCGAGACATTGCATAAACCAACGCTACCGTTGCTACAAAACCGGCATCCATTTTGGCAATAGTGTAGAAGAACCGGGCTTTTTTTTGCTTTGTATGCTGGGGGCGGGCGGGAGATTCCTGATTGGTTGTTGGTCGCCTTGGGCGCGAGAAATCGCCAAGCCTCAGACACGCCCAGCTTCAAGCTTTTTCGACGCCTGTAGTGTAAACGGGCCGTTACGGCCCCTACACACGGCGGCGTGCGTTACCGCTTGGCGGTGGGCGTGTCTGAAGCTTGGGGATTTTTTACGAACAACGCGACCAACAACCAATCACATGAATGTCCCGCCCCGGACATACAAAGCAAAGCATTCATGCTACATCCATGCTGGCTAAATATACTGTCTATGCTTGCTAGCTGTCCATTCAAACGAAGTACACTGGATATAAACTCCCCAAAAAGGCGAAAACCTACCAGTGTCACCCACTGTCTCTGCCACCTCCCCCCATGCCTGGCTCCTCTGGTTTGTATCCATGTATGTAAAGAGGGACTGGTCATATAGTACCGCCACGATCTTTTTCTCCTCCATTTTTTTACATATGGGAAATAACTGCGGCCTGGCTCTCCCAACATACACGCGGTTTGATTGGCTAGCGCTTGTAATGTCAGATTTGCATACGCAGGATTTGATTGGCTGACGCCTCCGTCGAGGCGGCAAAAGTAGAACATTGCTCTACTTTTGCAGCGAGCACCGCGAGAGAAGCTACGCTTTGCTCCCACAATGCAGTTTGGCGAATCGTGACGTCACCCCATTCAAAGTGAATGGGCAGAAGCGTTGAAGCGGCAACGCACGCCGCCGTGTGTAGGCTCCGTTAGTCACTTGCGTTCGTCATTTATGGCCTCGAAGATGTCATACCTTGGAGTCCACAAACAACAAAGAAGGAAGTGTCCCAGTGCACCCACAACAACAGACCATCTGTGACCTAGTGTTGACCGGTCACAGAATGGGAACAATAACATTATGGCTGAAGCAGCCTATGTCCTTAAAGGAGATAAACAGATGTCAGGGTTGGTCCTGTACGTCATATCTAGGAGTCTAGGATAATTATTTCCCTAACAGACATGAAAGTCAACTGAGTGTCACTTGCAATGACATTGTTGTGCTTTTATTACATTACATTACATGTCATTTGTTGACACTTTTATCCAAAGTGACTTACATACATTCAGTACTGTGGACAATCCCCACAGGAGCAATTTGGGCTGAAGTGTCACCAGGGAAACAACGACATGCTGACTGCAGTGGGACTTTTGTATTGTATTGTAGCCTTTATTTAACCAGGTGAAAATCCCATTGAGATCAACGATCTCTTTTTCAAGGGAGACCTACAGCAGACTTGAACTTCCTATCCCCAGATTTGAAGTCCAGCACACTACCCGCTGAGCCACAGCCACCCCATTTTATATCATGAACCTTTTACATTAAAAACAAGGGGGGAGGCCCTTTTTCCAGTTTAGAGCAATAGCCCCTCCAAATGTCTGTGCACGTCTCTGTTTGAGATAATAATACTCCAGCCTCTTGAAATGATTTCAAAGATGAGGATGTGATCTTTAATACAGTTCTACTGTAACAACTGGATCTCCACACAGGAGGGTTTCCTTCTCTCGCTCCGGAGGGATTGTGGTCCGGCTGTGGGAATTCCCCTGTAATTGATTCCTAATTCCAGTGCTTATGAGAGCATGGAAAACTCCGACCACATCTCCAGACTCTCTTTTCCTTTTCTTTTCTTCTCTTTTCACACATACTTCACTTTACCTTATTTAAACCCTTTTCCCAGCTCTTTTACATTACCCTCTCTTTTTGTTGGCGGTCACAGTTTTCTCCTCCTCCCCCTCTACATTTCCAGTGTGTGTGCTGCAGTTTTCCAGGCGTCTGTTTGACAGGACACCTAAATTACAGTCCGGTTGTCCGAGACAATCCACAGACTGAACTTTGAGGCTCACACTGATCTGATGGCACACAGATCTGGACTCACAGAAAAACAAGAATCTGCACACCTCTGAAGATTTCTACTGTAACAAATAAGGTCGTGAGAGATTCCTTAGACTTGCAAAAAAGATTCTGTGCAGGTAATATTGACAAATTGTCCTAGACATCAGGAGCAGATTATCAGAGAATGGGCCCCTGGACACGGACAAGAGAAATACCCCCCATCTTTCCTTTATTTTCACTGAGGGATGGCCACGGGCTGCAGTTGGAACAAGAACACAGACTTTTTGTGTGTCTTGTTTTGGTGGTTTTGTGTTACTTTGTGTCCCTTTGTGATCTTTTTCCCCCTCTTTGTCGTTGACCCTTTGTATTTTGTGTTTATATTCTGGTGCTTTTCCCCTCTTGTAGGCTATCTGTGTTTCTTTGGGCTGACTTTGAGTCTCTTCCTGGGTGTAGGTGTCTCTTTGAGGGACATTTCGAAGTGTAACAGGGGCCCTTGCCACTTTTACCCCTTTCACACCAACGCGGTTCCAGGGCCGGTTCGGAGCTGGAGCTTGAAAAGCACCGGTTTTTCCTGTTCACACCGCAGCGGACCGCCTCTAAGCTACGGAATCCGGTTCGTTTCGAGCACTAAAAAGTTGTCCATCTAGAAAGAAAGCACCGCATACGTCACGCTTACGTCGGAGGGGGGCAAGATTAACCTGAGCAGTTAAAGGCGAGTACGGCAAATAAAAGTTGTAACAAGCAGTAGTGCTGAGCAAAGTGACTAGAACACAACCACACACATAAAGTCAGGCAACACTAACCAGGCTTCTTTTGATTCTGTTTATGTGTACCCAGAGGTCGCATTAACCGAATATTTTCCGTCTATGACGGATTTTTTTTAACAATGACGGACAAATCTGAAAGCAGTCCGTCATTTTGACAGATTAGAACAAACTCGGAACAGCGCCAAAGTTTCCCCGCAGCGAGGCTCCGGTGACGGGCAGCGAAAAAGTCTAGCGCAACCTCTGTGTGTACCTTACTTTGACCATCCGTTCGTTGTTATTGATCATTGTGGAGAGCAGGCAGACGTTTTGTTTTGTATTATAGCAGCTATCGGATGGAATCAATACATGGGCTGCACAGGTTGTCATGTCCGACTATCACAAGTAGAATCATAATGAAAAATACGCCGGAAAACGGCTTATGCCACAATAGGATAGCAACAACAAGTAGTGAAGTTATAGTCAGTTTAGCTTCGGTTGCTATGCTAACATCACCCATTTTATACCAGAGAAACTTTCATAACAGCGTTGTGATGCCAAACAGCGTCAATTCAGACTGACACACATTCACTTATGGGGAATTGGGGATATGTATCAGCTGCTTGTGTGACAGTCGGCCAGTGAATACTTTACAGCAGCCGCTGCCGTGTGAGTTAACGAGAGAATACACTCCTGTGGAAGAGCAGTACTGCAGCAGTCGGTAAACGCCGCTGAAACACATTAATAAACAATTAACCACGGCACTCTGGAGAAAAGTATAAGGTTGGAGAAGTAGTTATTTAATTTAATCTTGCTTCGTATGATTAAAAGCAACACAATCATCGACCCGACGCAGTCCCCCATTGTTGTTGTAGTTAGCGCCGTTGGGGAGAAAATCAGCGGCGTAAACGGTGACATCATGACGCAGCAGCAGCAGCACCAGTCGGGCTCTGGGCGGTGTGAACAGAGCGGGAGCTGAACAGAAGAACCGGTTCTGAACCAGAAAAGCTCTTGCACGGAGCTAGAACGGGAAAAGCCTTGGTGTGAAAGGGGTATCAAGGTCCTTGAGCATGTGCCTGGTAGATCCGATCAATAATCCATCCATGCTAATGATCATTGTAGATCAGGAGAAGTACAACTCAACTGTAAACACATTTAATACATGGTCCTTCACCTTAAATTAACTTTTCCGTACATGTAACATTCTGGACTGACATTTGATGGTTTATCCAAAATAATGACGACATTCAAGGATCGAAAATCCTCCATAACAACCACGAGCCACAGCGACTCCTCCCTGAAACCAGACATGATGATATTAAACTAATCCTTATTATACAGATTAAATGTATTCCTTCAGGATTTTTTATGAAGTCACAAATAATAACAAAGTACCCATTCTTAATATCAGAAAAACACATGTCATATTCTAAACTTCTAAAAGTGAAAGTGCATCATGTCTAACTCTTCTGCATCCAGTCTGTCTCATATGTCCTGAGTTTATCTCTAAAATCTGTTGCTGCCTGTTCCAAAAGCTCACACTCCAGAATGTGAAGGTGTTTTATTGCAGCTGGTCTGCCAGCTTGTGGCCTTTATGAGTTACTACACATGATGTTAGTCTGTGCCTCTTTAATAATTGTTTAATATTAAAGGTCCCCGTTATACTCTTTTTCATCAGTATATCATAGGTCTCAGATATATACAGAACCTGTCTCTGATTGGCTGAAACATCAAACGATCATTGCAGCATCCCATAATCCCCTCTGTTTCAGCCTTGTTCCAAAAGTGCTGATTCTGGGTCTGTAGCTTTAAATGCTAATGTACTGCTGCTGGCCACGCCCCTCTGAGAAGTGATTGGTTTAAAAAAAAAAAAACACAATGGTGCTCTAGGAGGAGATTCAGGTGATAAGGTGTGTAACCCAAAAAAACAAAGTGACATCACAAAATGACCAAAATGTGATCAGCTCATATTCAGACTAGGGCTGTCAGTCGATTAAAATATTTAATCGCGATTAATTAATCAACATATGAGTGGACAAATATGCTTTATGCTAATGTTTATTATCATTTGAACAATGACAAATATTCTCATGAATATTAAACACAACAACCTCTGAACATTACAAATATTCGCCTCAATTCAACCTGGAACCTCTCTCATTCAATAATACAATACAAATGGTGTGTGTGTGTGTGTGT